AAGTATAAACCATCGTGATTCCTGACTCATTTGCCGCTCTGACCATCTTTTTTAAGTTACTCCATTAACTCCTGGTGGAACTTATGCGATTCCCGTAGGGAAGATGCTGTTTATATCCGCAATTGCATTACTCCTCCACATTCATATGTCTTCTCCCTTCCTGTGTGCCTGTTACCCAAACAGTACCTAAACACTAAATTTGTGTGAAATCTGCTATGCAACCTGTGTACAGCAACCATGATTCTACTTATAAACTACGGAATCACCTCACTGGTTGCTCCGGGTCATTATGTCTGTTTATCAGGTAGTTTTGTCTAGGGTTGCTATACAATTGATATGATTATGAACAATAAATTTTGTTCGAAACGTCATCCAGTAAATAATACTGTTTCACTGTGTGATATACCTAATAAACAAACTAATATGGAATTACTTACTACCACAGTGCCCAAGTTTTACACATATATTAATAGGGTTGCTATAGTTTAGAGTAACCAACTTTCTGGACGGACCGCGAGACCCCAAGAGCGCCTTCGTACTTATTTAACAGGACAAGACAAACGTGCTTCATCCTCTTCTATGAAAAGCAATTTGTTCTGGTAATGGCATTTTATGCATCTATAATATTTTTCACTGCATCCCACAGTACAAAATAAAGTATTTTTTATTGAATGCACATGTAACAGCAACTGTTCAAAAATTTTCTTTCAGTATATCTCCCTTCCATATTGTTTCACACTGTGTGTGTACGTCCAAATTTAGTCTTTAGTCATGGTGTAACAACAGAAGACAAGGGCCAGGCAACAGATCGTTTATTACGAAAAATCAACACGTATTTATAGATTTTTATGTACATTATTGTAGGTCAATGTTAGTAGAAAATACAGCCTGTTGATTGGTTGTTTCTCACACAAGTTAACCTTGCATCTCTTGTGGCTGTGTCAGTTCATCTATATGTTAACTGTAACCGCCTGTCCACCTTGACCTTTGACCTCAATTACTGTCAACCAATTTGGCCAGCAACCATCTCTCACCACAACATGACTAATATTTGATACATAAACATTGACCTCAATTACTGTCCATCACTTGGCTAGTAGACCGCTCTCACCACACTCGTCCCCCCGTCAAATAGTTTGGACTGAAGTCGGCTCGGTCTTCTCGGTTCTTGGGGCTTTGCTCTGTTGTCTTGCTGTCTGGAATCTCGGCGCTTGCGGATGTCCACTTGTTTAACGGTGTTTACCATTGCGATTGTGTCTGCGTAACCCCATCTCAACGTGACCATATATGGTCCTTCCCACTTTGGAAACTGTTTGCCTGACCCTGTCGCACATTCGTAGGTATTTCGCCTCACACTTCCATATGCTGCTTTCTCCCGACCTCCCAGCAGCGTCCCAAGTAGCAGCCTCATCGCTGACAGATCTTGAACGCCACTCAACTGCGAAGAAGCCTCGAAGTCCTGCCCGAAGATCCATATGTCTCCATCAAAAACTGCAGGGCATAGGCTTTCCATTTGTCGGTAGGCAGCGACACCAAATGTAACAACAGAAGACAAGGGCCAGGCAACAGATCGTTTATTACGAAAAATCAACACGTATTTATAGATTTTTATGTACATTATTGTAGGTCAATGTTAGTAGAAAATACAGCCTGTTGATTGGTTGTTTCTCACACAAGTTAACCTTGCATCTCTTGTGGCTGTGTCAGTTCATCTATATGTTAACTGTAACCGCCTGTCCACCTTGACCTTTGACCTCAATTACTGTCAACCAATTTGGCCAGCAACCATCTCTCACCACAACATGACTAATATTTGATACATAAACATTGACCTCAATTACTGTCCATCACTTGGCTAGTAGACCGCTCTCACCACAATGGTACATTTCTTGTGACGAATTTCTCCACATCCGCTTTCTCACTACCGGCTGCGATGGATCTGGACAAGAGGCAAACTAAGCACTATAAGGTATTTAGCAAATCCGTGTACACACATCACATCTGTTTGCAGACCACCGTGGGGCAACCCATCGCCATTGCGTCAAACAGAGGAGTTTTATTAATTGGACTGCCTATAGGTTCTCAATTCCAGCCGATATCGTCGAAAGATACTCATGATACAATTACGGAGAAGTTTGCGACATTCATCATTCAACATTTGGTATTGGCATGAGTCACCTGAGTAGGTTGGTTAAGCTGAAGGTGATAATTTATTATTTAAAGTTAAGTTATTACTTAAATTACATAATTTGGGTTTATGCTGGATTTACATGGTCGCTCTTCTTTCTGACTTCAATCAAGAGGCCAATCTGCTAACTGGTCAGTCAATATGTGGTGAGAGCAAGCTGCTAGCCAATTGGTAGACATTGATCTACGCTGATTGGTGGAAATTAATCTAGGCTGATTCAACAACCGATCACAGCTGACCTAGACGTGGAAAAATGTGATTCGCAGACAAGTGGCTCGCATTTCCGAGAAATATCGAAAACGAGAAAGCAGAAGACTGCGTTTGTTTGCAAACAACCAATCAGAAGACCGCCTTCTTTCTGCGGGCAGAGCCTTATTAATGTACCTAGAATACATATAAATACCTGTTGGTTTTCGTAATAAAACTGATCTGTTGCCTGGCCCTTGTCTTCTGTTGTTACAAATAGAGCACATTAAGAAATACAGAAATATTGTACTCACATTAACAATTTAATTATGTCTGTGTTGAATGGATCACAAGCACTTGGGGAAAAATAAAGCATGAAGTCAGTTCTCTAATATAACTTTGTTGTACACGGCATTGCATCTTATTCTTGATTTATCGTCGGGTGGTCAGTCAATTTAAAGTAAGTGGTATATCTGCACCATTTTGTCAGCAGCGTATTCCCAGGGTACCATCAGAATTGAGTTCCGTTTCACACAGACGAGTATTGGGAAAATCCATGTGGGAGTGTTTTACTACAGTAGAAAGATGGAAGTTCTTTAAATTCTGCCATTACTGCCACCTGTGGCTGCATGGTAGTCCATACGCTAAAGTTGATTAATGTATGGGAAACTGTTTGGAAACCGGTTACATCTTCAGTTTAAATCGTGAATACTGCTCGTACAAAATGTTAATCAGCCTCACTATATGGTGACATAGGAGTTTCTAACGATGTTGAGTACGTTGAAGAATAATGTTGTACGTGTGAGCAGATGGTTTCAAGTCCCGTTTAGCTTCAGTCTTACTGCAGGTCTGATCAACATCCACTAAAAGGCAAATACAAAAGTGAAGACAAGCAGAAAAGTGCCGGAAATATAAGTGTGTGGATGCAAATAGAACTTCAGTGTCAGTATATGTATATGTTCATATTTACTGTACATTTCTGTCTAGTAAACATATGTATTGATACTCCCTCAGTCTTCTTATTAACCTATGCCACCAGCCTCTTCATCATTCACACAGAATAATTTATAGATTTTTACGCGTTCTTTAGGCATTTAGGGGTCCTAGCATTCGATTTATTCTAGAAACAAATAGTGCGTTCTTATTGTTTTTGCAGTCAGCGGAATGTAGCAGCGTGTATCCGAAGTGCATGTTCTGATTTATAGGGGTGAACTGTTCCATGTTTTAAAATACATGTCTGTGAAGACGTTCCCGCGGAGTGATGATTTAAAGGCTTTTATGGCCACTGTGAAAGTTTGGTTACACAGATCGCAAGAGCCTTGAGGTGAGAAGTGTATGTCCTTACTGTCGGAGAATGATATTTGCATAGAACCTTAAAGAAGTATATTAGATTTATAATAAGTCGTCTCGTCGTCCACTACACCATGAAATGTAGTCTTTCTTACAATCGTACCCAGGTAGTTTGACGTGAAAAATCATTGGATACTATACATCCTCAGCTTGTCACATATGCGAGTGCTACTAATAATAAATGGACAGTATTCTAGTAGTTACCTTACACATGTTTTGATAGAATGAGCTTGACTTCATTGTTGTGAAAGTTCCTAAGAATGCATCTTAAGAGTACCTCAACTTCCCAATGCATTAAAGATTTGAGTAAGAGAATAACACAAAAAAGCAAAATGCTGTGTGAGGGACTTAATGATTTGAAACATGTTAGGACATCCTTGATTTTCCCAGGCTATGACAAGCTTACTATTTAGAGTAAATGACCTACTTTTCAGGAATGTTTAGACATTTTGGTTAACTGGTACAAGTGCTGAAAAGTTATATAAGCAAGGGCGCCCTTATTCATGAATTTCGCAACGACATATATGATTTATCGAGAAATGGCTTTAGTCTGTTGTGCAACACCGAGTGTCAGGATTTAGGGATATTTGTAAGTCATGATCAGGAGACTCAGGTAAACTGCAAAACAGTGGGTCAGAAGCACTCGGAGAATTATTAGCTTTACACGAGCAACATCGGAGCTTCGATCGTGTCCTAGTTTCGTGTGTCCTAGTTTAAAACTTATTAGGAATACAGGATCCGAGGTGGCTGATCTAAATTGCAAATAATAAGCAGACGTTTAAAAATTCCATTATGGGTAAAATTTACTTGAACATATCCTTGATATGGTTATAAGCAACAAATTGTGCTCGAAATATCATCAGTAAATAATACTGTATAACACTGTGAGACTTTATCGAAATAAATTTCACCCATAATGAAATTATACTCTACCACACTGCACAAGTTCTATTCTTATATCAACGAGACGTTTAAATAGGTCAGAAAGTGAGTACAGATCTATTTTAACTTTAAAAACGGTAGATAATGCACCGACCACTGAGATCTTAATACATTTAGTTCATCTATGTTTAATAAAAGTGAACACATGAGATGATCCTACAGTTAAAAGTCACTATCAAACTATATGCGAATTCGTTTCTCTTGCTGACTTGTCTGTTGGTCACAACATCTGTTGATTCACTAAAAGAGATTTCGAGTTTTATCTTCCAGCACACCAAATAGATAAATATAGTCTGTTTTGAACAGTTCTTAAAAATCTCAAGAACGGTGGCGGGAAAGTTGAGCTCACAGCTTGGCGCTTCGTTTAAACTGTAGGTAGCGGATGGGCATCTTGGTAAGGAGTTTTCCTCAGCAAGTTTTTACCTTGTAATCATGTATTCTTGCTGATTAACTAACTACCCGGCCAAGTTTTATTAGGAGACAATATTTCGTATAATTGTGTTTAAACCGTTTGATTAGCTTAACACCCAACCTTTTTGCAAATAACGTGTTTACAAAGGTATATTGTTATCAACATAGTCAGGTCCATTTTCAAAATCCACACTAAATACTTTGTTCTCCCTAGCGTTTCATTATCCTATTGTTTGACTGACTACAACCTACAAATAGTAACTTCGAAGAGACCTCGGACCACGTGATCCATACATTTCATCCTAATTACTGTTTTCATTACAAGTACCCGAGTACTTCCTGTAATTAACTCGGCATCACACGGTATTTTCTTTCAACTACACTTGAAGTAGCCATCAAGTATGAAAATACCACACGCGCTCAAATCATGCGTGCTTATTAAAAAGTGCACTTCGTGTTAGTAGTAAATTAGTATCTCAGGGAAAAGAACACTTGCTTAGATTTTTCGGAAAATTTGCAGACGAGTTTGTGTATACATCCACTTGCTAGTTATTGTAATTTCAGTGTTATCAAAGATTTCAACTTAGCATGCTATGTTCTTTGTAAAAACTGGGTTATCTGAAGAGTTTAACGTATTATATGTCACTACCATTACGTGGTGGTCGAGCTTGTATGTGGCAATGACTCAATTAGCTAACGTTGCTGCAGGTCATACTTCAGAAAGATCGTTTAGATAGTGTTTAGACATAACGCAGATGACGTAGTGTAAGTCGCTTACACTACGTCATGCTGCGTTATGCTGCCTCTCCTATGTGTAGTCAGCCGTTATGTCTTAGTGCAGAAAACCCCGGTAACCAATTTAAACATGTCAAGTGACCGGAAGTTGTCCCATAGGTTCTGCGGTCGCGCAACACTAACGCTGCTTACGTTTCAGGTAACCCAGTCAATTAGTTATGTGTGTCTGAAACCGTAAACAAAATAATTCACTGGATATCGGTAACATTCCAGAAAGTCGATAGTGAACAATGTATACTTGATTTGGGGCTAGCATTTAATCCGATTAAATTAAATGAGTCCATTCACTCAGTATAAGACGCATTACCTCATCTATAAAATTATCACAGCTGCAACGCTTCGGATGCCTAAAGTAAATCTTAAGACTATACCAAGGTAACTAAAGAGATTACCGAAGATGACTCAGACTAGCCAACTACCCACCTCAAAATTGCGTCGGTTCAAATGCGCTCTCAACTTAACTACGTGACCTTTTCATGCTACCTTTACTCGATACACACTTATAACTCTAAGATTAGAGGAGGCTGTTGTGTAGTTGTAGTTGCGTAGTCTATATTTCGGATAGGCAGTCCGACATGTCAACTGCACGACAAATTACGTAGACTGGCTGGGGGCGAATGTGCCTTTTGTAAATCAGCCGAGATTTCGTTGGTAAGCAGTTTGTAAGAGATTCTGGGTTGCTCTTGGCGGGCTTATCTGTTTGACCGTTAAACAGTTGATATCGGTTGTATAGCCTATCATATACTATGACATAAAGTGCGACCTCTCCATCTTATCACTTTACTTTCTTACTTAAATTCAAACGTTATTGATTATTAACCAGTTTTGGAACAGCTTGTAATGTACTGTGTAATATTAATGCAAATCTACTTAGGTTGTATATGACCTCGACTTTTAACCATGAAGCAGCACAATGCAAGATGCTCTTTATTTTGAAACTCTCGGCGTCTAAAGGAATCGAAATCCCGTAATTCCTATATATACGTCCTTGTAAGTTGAAATATTGATGTTAAAATCAAACTAAATATGGTTATTTACTAGTTTAGTATCGTGCTCAGGTGAAATTGTAGTGATGTTGCCGAATTAATTGGATATGAAGTGTGACGTACATAGCATGTGTCCGGGCGCCTGTGTCTAAATCCTAACGGATATGTGTAGTAACAGACACACCAACAACGTGATTTCCTTTCTATTTAAGAGTGATCAAGAGTAACCTTACCTCTAAGATTGGGGTAGTCAGTGCCTTCACATGCTTCAGTCACTATTCTAAGATTAGAAATCCATGCATACCAAACCTGAACTGACAGTTTGTATACCGGGGGTTTGCTTTTCTATTTTAAAACATCGGTTCCGGTGTCGTGGACGCATATTTTCAATATCCAAGTGGCTACCGGTCAAACTGCCTTGGATGTCATCCGAGATATCATACGGCTGGGTAGTTCTAGATACCATCAGACATGGTTTGAAGTAGTATTCTGGCGATCATGTTTCAATATCCGTCTTTTCTGCAAATAAAAATAATGGAGTAATTATCTCTGTTTGTTTTCATCCCCTTGTTCCTCAGCTATTTTATTTATTTTCTTTATATTGCTGTTCGATCATTTTTGCGGCAGATTTCTTGGTACCCATAGTGTGTGTCCCAAGTTTGTGTTCAAATAGTAACTAAAACCATGTTGTATACATTATCTAAATCAGTTTAGAAAATTCCCCTAGGGAGACCAATCAGACAAGGAGAGGAGTACTTGCATGTAACTACCGCGATGTGGCTTTACTTTTGTACCTATTTATGTGACTCAATAAGATAAAGTACATGTTACACTACTTCACTTTAGGCAGTATCTATAACCTACTGACATTCAACTTCGCTAGCAACCGTATGCGTGTACATGCATTTTTGGTTTTAGCTGTGTACTCACTTTATGCGGCCTTGTTGCATCACAGGTAAGGTATTATTTAAAGTTCTTCTTCTGATCCAATTACTATTTTGTTGAGTTATTTCTTTTAATTATTAATATATTCCTTTTAAATTGTAGAAATACGTTCTGAAGTCTCCAGCAGCTGTAAGAATCAGTTCACTCGCCCTGCAGTTATCTTCTCAGATAGAAAAAGCTTGTCAACGTGATTCATTTTCACGTTTCCTATTATCTACTCACAGAGCATTAATAGCCAACCTACTTTTATGTCGTCACTCAGGGACACTGATTGCCCGTCGTTTACGAGACAAATATTCCAGTCTGCATTCTACCTTGAAAACCGATTCTCGGTTATTCGTGACTCAAAAAGTTCTGCTTGGTGGATCACTTATTTCATTTGCCCAGGATAAAATCACGGATGAAGAAGTCTTAGTGTAAGTAAAGTCCTTAAACATTCTTACTCTTAACCTTTAGCACCTTGAAAAGCTTTTCAACGAAAGGTGATTCAAATAATCTTGAAAACACCAACTCGTTCGATACAGAAAATGATGCTAGCAAGGAAAATCAGCCTCCATTTACTACTCAAGATCCTACTCAAAACCCACCTTGTGAATCATGGGATCCTCCTTTGACTTTAATGATAAGGCAGTTACTCCAAAATTATGCCGAGCGAAAATCAGTTCTTTTACATCCTGCTTTAGAATCACTTACAACCGAAGATTCTAGCTCACATCCCCTTGACCCTAATCCTCAAATAAACGAGATCTCTAGTGTGAATAGTTTTAATACCTCCCTTTCATCATTCTTTATGAACTTGGACATTCAACCAGATGGTACAGGTTTCGTTGATGATTCATGGGAGTTGGTGTTTGATCGGCCTAATATGCATGTTTGGCGAAAACCAGCGAAAGTACTTCTTGATGACAACGAAAATAATTCCCCAAAGTCAAGCAATAAATACGAATATCGTAGTAAGTGTTTTTTAAAATTTTTATTTTACGTCTTAACGCGTCGGTAGCACAGTGGTTAGGACTCCCGCCGACCATGCACATGGTCCGGGGTTCAATTACCTGCCGACGCACACCCAATATCTATGGTCGGCCTGTAAAATTTGGGCTACCGATATCCATGCTGAAAATTCCATACTTCTACCAAAAGTACTGTGTGGAATCAAGCTGTAAACAAAAATTAAAAATTAAATTACACGTTCCAGTTGCTCTCTTGTTGTGCTTATGGTAAACTTAAGCATTTGCTTTTTATTCTAAGCGAATTAGTCTGGGATCTAAAGGCAAAGTAGGAGAGTTTCGTCAACATTGTGAAAAGTGGGGAGAAAGAGGGAAACTACCCCTAAAATTTGTTGAGCAGCTTATGCACATTCGGTAATATGTATCGAAAGACTTTGTGCACTTGGAATGCGATGTAATTGAATTTCCTCTATGTATAATAGTGTTATACGCGAAATCAGTTTTAAATTTCATCAAACAGTTAAATATTTATCAACTGCATATGATATTTGGACCCTATGAACAACATTATAAAAAAGTGACAGAAAAGAAGAAATGAAAAATAACAGAATGATCAGTAACTAAGTCTCACAAACTGGGCTAAGACTACAATCACTTTCCCACTATTTATTAAAAGATGAGAAGACAGTGGTGTGACTGTCACCAATTTTCAAGTGTTTCAGTTGTAATCAAGACGGCAATCACTGAACATAGACAATTGTCAAACATTCTCGGCTTAAAGAAAATTTCCTAATGAATGTAGACCAGCAGTGCTCCTACAAACGTCAGACATTTCACAGTCAACAGACGATTGTGAAAGTACCGAAGATTGTCTTTAACTGATTTACATATTTCTGCAGTAAGGATAGAAACCTCAGCACCTAAAACTCACAAATGCATACATGCAACAATTTTCCAACTATTCTTTGCGGTGCGCCATCATAGGTGAGTGCCGGTACTATAAGGTGCTTACGGTTGTAATACTTTTCGTTGGATGGAGGTGATACTAACACATTGGTCACTGACTGTTAATCAGTGGGTAGCGAGTTCAAACCTCGTTCCACTTCATCCTGAGTGTTTGGGCAGTATCAATAGCCAGCCCACATTAAGTATAACTAATAAGTTAGTGTATGAAAAGTCCGTTCTGAGCAAGATGCACATATTCTACCGCATTACCTTTTTAGTAAGCATATTCTGTGAAATATTGCTTTTACTTAGGTGATTTATTATCTTGGGTACTTATAATTTCATTTACATTTTTAAGTGCCCAAGTTAATTTCAGACTCATTGACTTATTCACTTCACACACTTGTGCAAATTCCATGTTGATGAGTCATTCAATCACTTCGCACATATGTCAGACTATAGTGGACATTCGGAAGTGAAATGAATCTCAAGTGTTAATTTTGTGTTCATTAGTGTAGGTCAAACCCACTAAGAACCTACCTTAATTTAAGAGTTACTGACTTTTTTATTTATAGTTTGTGGACAATTCCATGATATATCAGCCTCATCATTTTTGGAAGTACAACTTAATCTTGATTATCGACGACATTGGGATGATAAAATTGTAGAATTGGATTATATTACACCAAGTGATGTTGATAGCAAGGATTTTTCTATCATTCGTTGGGTTGTTCGCTTTCCATTCCCGTTGGTTAATCGTGAGTATATTTACCTGCGTCGTTGGTGGATTCAACCCGGTGAATGTCATTTAAGTATTCAAAAACCTCCAGAATTATCCGGTGAACACAAAGACAAGTCTGCAGCACCAGTCGTTTTATGCCGAAGTAGTACAACTGAGGAGGCTCCATCGTTTGGTCGTTACGCTTATGTTATTTCACGCTGCCCCTCGGATTTTCAAAATAGATGCATTCAATCTTCAGGTATCTCTCCAGTGGAGTCTTCGAAAAAGTCAAGTTTATGGGCGAATGCGAAAAGACGTGATCTTGTACAGGTTCATGAATACCATTCTGAGATGTTAATTGAGTCACATGGGAAATTCAATCAGGTAAGTGCCATTCCGTTCTGTTTTGGATATAGAATACTCAATAATACCCACATGAATTTCTCCAGTCGCTATGAATATCTCATATTCGCCTCTGAAAACTGACTATTGGAGGTTGAAATTATGGGATACATGGATATTTCTACCTGACAAAATGAATGATAAAGCTTAATGTCACTTCATGCAAAAATATTACGATTGTGAGTACCTTAGTAATTCATTCAGACACATTTTTGTTAAGGCTCCGTATGTCATTGCACTTATCATAATAAAGTCTGTTAAGTTGACTTTTGTGCATACAAATATTAATCGCCAAAGAGTTTGTATAGATTGATATTTCGGTGTTTACGAATTTTATGCTCACTGTGTTACATCATGATATAATGCTCCAGGCTTTTGTCTACATTACTACTGTTGTTCAGTGGTCGTTTCTTAGGGTTTTCATATTGGTCTGACTTTGCAGCTTGAACTCTTCAGTTCATAAATATTGTCCTTAGAAAGCATAATCTATGAAACCGTCCCTAAAAGACCGAATTCACTGTGGTGTCCATATCTGTCTGGTGTAGCTAGTGAAATCCATAGGTCAGTTTGAATCGCCGGTGTCTGTTCCGGTTTTCCAGTCTTTAGAATTTCTCCTCAGGTAATTGGGACAAAAACCAGGTAGAATGGTCACTCATTTTCTAACGTTTTCATCTGACTCCTGTCCTTAGTCTTTAGAATCTTCGCGTTAAATACCGTGACACTTATTTGTAGTAGTCTATACAAGCATATTTTCTTACGCGTTTGGGGTATGAATTACAAACAATGTAACTTTTCGAACACTTGTTGATCAGAAACAGACGGATACCATCTGCCTCAACGTATGTTCTTCATTTTTACTGGTTTTGTAGTGTCTCCAGTAATGAACTATGAGGTACTTCTGGAACACAAAAGGTTTTCATCCTGAAAATCTCCGAAGCGATATTTTCTCTGGGCTCCTTAACTTTTTCACTTAATTTTTCTTGGATAAAATTTTCCAATCAATTAACGTCCCTTCATCATTCAGCTGATCTAATAGGTCGTTCATATCTAATGGTCTCTTTTACTGTTTCCCCTCATTGATCTACTTCTCCTCCTTGGTTAACTGTCAACACTTAACCTCAATATTAATCACTATATTAAAACAAGGTACACAGGAGATAGGGTTGTGTTCCTCAGATAAGACTTTGGACTATAGAGTTGGAGACAGTATATGCTGATTAGCAATATCAACTAACCTGAAGTTTAGCCAGTCTTATTCCATGGAATCATTAAAATTATCACTGTAACGACCTACTTCATTTGTTTTCACCTGATCCATGTCTTTTGGGAGCAGAATTATCACTGGGGCCCAAAATCTCCACCATTCTATTTCCATTTTTATACTGTGATTCCTCCAGAATGTTGTTTGTCATTCCCCAAAATAATAATGTACAGCAGACGAAGTCATGGTCATTAAGAAGAATTAGAAGTATAAAGAGCTTGGCAAGACTTTCATAAATACTGGTGTGCTCCGCGTTGTCATCGGCACACTTTTCTAAGAGGATTTTTGAAGACCTTTCTAAAGCGTTAAGAAAGATCAATCATGCTTTTGTGCTCACAAAAACCCAGAGAAACTTGTGTAGACACTATCGAATCTTAACGGAAGTACTTTCGTTTGGCTTCAAATTTTAAATTGCAAGAAAACATAATAGAGTAGATTCAGAAATCTAATTCGAAAAAATATGCAGTCAGCTAACTGACTTAAGGCGGATAAACAAAAAACTTGAGACTGCACAGTCTAATGTCTTATCTAAAGAATATCTAACAGCATTAATGAAACTAATAAACAATGAAGCAATCGCGATACGTTCAGACAAGCATTCCGTTGTAGTATATAATGAACAGGGATAAATATGTGCGTAAAGCCATATCAATTATAGGTGATTCTTCACAATTTATGATAGGCAGTAAGAACCAAGATAAGGGGCAAATCCGTAAGGTAAAACGGATTGTTACAGTTTGTTCTTTCATTGTTCAAATTTTGAATTGGACGAGATACATTTGAAGTCATAATGTACTATTGCTCTGAATGTTACCATTATTGATTACTGTATATCATATTATCAATTAGTTTATTTCTCTTTCCCATTGAATTACCAATAGACTGGATTAAATTACTATTTGATTTACTATGATGATCCATGCCTTCCAGTTAATGGTTCCCCAATGAAATTCCTCTCTGTTAAAGGTAATTGTTGTCCTATGCACTTTAAAGTGTATATATAAAACTGTTTATCAGAGTTATTGTCATGTTTTAATGCATGTGGTATTTATTCATTCATTGTTCAGTGTTCAATGGGTAGTGTTTTCCTAAGAATTTTGTCATATGCGTGTAAACCACAATGGTTAACAAAGTTATTTTGTTTTTCACGCCTTCTTTCATTGTTGTCTTTGTATCTTTGGTTATATGTATCGTCGACATTATAATTCGGGGTGTATATCACATGTATGTATGATTTTGGGAGTTTTAATTGGTGATGGTTTTGCCTATTTTATCTGATTAAAAATGCCCATTAAAATTTTTCAAAAGAATGGATACTGAACAAAGAGTACTCTTTTCGATAACTTCATCATCAGGCTCTACAGTTATATATACATTATAGTGAATGAATGAATTAGTGTTATAAACAACATTAATGTTTAAATAACATCGTATCTACCAATTCAACTGCACTTGTGGAGCGAGTTATATTGGCCGTTGTTCTAGGAACTTGATTTTTCGTGTTCGAGAACATCTCCCATTATGTCTAAGTAAAAGTGTAGTTAAAACCCTTAACAGTTCGATGTTGGACCATGTGGTACAAACCGGCCACAAAGCCAGAGTGGAAGAATCCTTCTCTATAATCTACCGGGTGCCTGATAAATTGCCAAAATCATCGAAGCACCGCATGCTCTGAACAGCAGAGGCTATTGCAATTCGCCTCAAACAACCAGTGCTCTGTGTTCAAAAGAAGCAAGTCCAGCTCCTACTACTGCCCTGGCCCTCAGTAGAGACTATAAACTCATGAATTTGTACTATTACCTTTCATAATTTTTCTGACATTTAGCTTATTTTAGGTTGATGCTATTGAGCTGTAATTTATTGATATTATTGATTCGATGTTATTTGAACAGCATTAATGTCGTTCATAAGACTAATTCATTCATTCATTCACTATAATGTATATATAACTGTAGAGCCTATTTTATCTGTTGTTGAATTGCTTTCATTCTTTGAATGTGTTCTTCAGTAATATATATATATATAAGCTTAGTAGTATATTATTATTATTGTATCCTTTAATTCCTAGAGGAACATAGGGCTTCAGCCGTGCATCTCCATTGCGTTCGGTTCTCTGCTAGAGTCTTCACCTGGCTCCTAGTCTGCCCACACGTTTTCATCTCTTCACATGACCTCCTCCAAGTCACCCTTGCACTGACGACCAACTCGCCGCTTCCCTTTCGGGTTCCACTCGAGCAATGGCTTGTCTAGTGAGATCACTTGATGCATTGTTTCCTCAGAGTATGGCCAATCCATCTCCATTTCTCCCTGCCTATTTGTTTCACAATCGGTTCCTGGTTGGTTCGCTCCCAGAGATCCCTGTTGCTGATCTTTTCTGGCCGGCCATCTGATCTTGAGTATTGAGCGAAGACAACTGTTAATGAAGGTCTGTAGTTTGTTTGAGATGCTCTTTATGACGCGCAGTGCAAGTCTCCGATCCGTATAGTAGCACTGACTTCACAATGGAGTTGAAAATCCGGATCTTATTTTTGACACTGAATGGTGTTGACCTCCACACAGACTTGAGAGTAATGAAAGATTGCCTTGCTTTCCCGATCCTCACTTAGGTATTCTCATCAGTTCCATCCACCTGTAGTTGAAACGATGCTTCCCAGGTCACTAAGTGAAGGAGGTTGTTTCTTTCAGGTTCCTTCCATTTATGCTAATTGTTGTCTGTTGTTGCTGTTCCCCAGGAATCTTCATCACCTCTGTTTTCTTTATGTTCACCTGAAGTCCTATCTTTGATGCTTCTTCTGACAACTTGTTGCTTTTCGCTTGCATATCTTACTAGTAGTTGACAACAGGAACCAGAAATCACCTTTCTAAAAACATTTAGAGACATGTTAAACAGTATTTACGTTGTTGACAAACTGAAAGTCTTTCTTTTTGTCCATCTTTAAGAAAAACGAGGATTTGTTATGTGTTCCTGATTGTTTTGCTTTTCATTCGCTTTGGAATACACACTTTAAAATAATCACTATTTATGATCAAATATTCTTTAAACCATTAAGTTTGATCTTTTTTTTGAATGTCTGCAATTTGTCTTGGTTTATTTCGCGTAGATTGCATTTGTTCAGCTATCTTTCTACTTACTAAAAGATTCTCCTCAAGTTAAGAAGTTTTCCTTATTAAACTATTGAGTGAATTTGGGAAATAGTTTTGCCAACGAATGCGAAATCACCTGGAATAACAACTCGGGAACAGCTACTAATTCTTCTTTATTACTGCAGCTACGGTAATCATCCCTGCTTTCTGCAAAACTAAAAGACTTCTGGTTTGTTGTGCAGTTGTTTAAGCAGAGAATAGGAGCAAATAGTATGCCAAGATAGTGAAGATCAAGTGTAGCATATTCTGTATACTAACCTTCAGCAGTCTACAATGTTAAATTTATGATCAAGTTAGTATCTAATGTGGCTGGGATTTGATAGATCCTGTCCTACGCATTCATATTTTCTATCAGATAGGCCTCATCCACTGACTCCTCTGTGGTAAGCATGTGTCCTCACAACAGTAAAAAGGTGTTCAGCCTCTGTCATCCAATTATTTATAAACGGAGGATTCACGTAGGGGAGTTAAGAATACTGGTTCGAAAACAGCGGTGCAAATAAGCTCTAGAGTCCTTAGGAAACGAATAACATTGTTCAGTTACCTGCTGGGTTAGACTCAAAACTACAGGCTCAAGGATCAAAGGAATAATAGATAACTGACAAGAGAAGCAAAATCGTTCTGTTACCCCTTCCTACTTCCCGATAGTTGTAGTGTGATTACAAATAATGTCGAGTTTTAAAATCAATCGAGTAACAGTCCTAACTATGGTCGATGACCATTTTACATCAAGTGATACCATCTTAGTACACAGTATTCGGTGACTTGAACCTGTATTACTGATGTTGTCTCGGAAGGGTTCTTACCCTCCACAGGCCCTGTGACTAGTTGAAAAAGGTGGAGATTGATCATCAATGTCTGATGCTTATTTGTACTCAGTTGGTGGTGCATTACGGCTTTCTAAATGAGCTTCGATAGGTCACAGGACTTCAGACATTAGATATAGTTGAAAATCAAAGCCAGCAGCAATCATGCAGTTATATAAAGTGACGAACGCTCCCTACAATATATTTTTAGAGCATGCTTACTTGCCCATTCTGTTGTCGTTTATATATATCCCTTCTCTGTATATTCGTCCGTTGATGCATTGAAATAAATAAACTTAGTCAATCATGTATTAAATATTTCTCAGTGGGAGCGTCTGTCTACTTCTTTGAGGTTGCTTTCATTATTAATACTGTTTTTAAAGTAATCTAATATCTTATATTCACTTGTTATAGTCAACGTAGAATTCTCAGTGAATCTCACTTACATTGTCATTTCTTTTCACCATTCATTTATATTCATAGCTATGGAGGAATTTATGCTACAACTTCATAAAGCTGCGTTGAGACTACATCAAAATGGTCTGCCACCTGGTATCCAGCCTATCGTATACTTTACGGATGAAATAAAAAACAATCAGAAATCTGATGTAACTCCTGAGCTGAAAACATCCCCACCTCCAAAAAACAAACCATCTGGCAATAAAAAGTCAAAATCATATTTCTTCACCGACCGCCCTCCATCGGAACCAAGTTACCTTGATTCACCTGCAGCTGCCTTGTATTGATTGCTGAAAGTAATAATATTAATAAGGATAAGAAGCCTTTCTGTTTTTGTTTGTTTTCATATTTTCTCTAGCTATACACATGGTTTGCATTTATGCTATGCAGTGCTTTTTGTCTAGTGGTGATGATGATAATGATGATGACAGTGACTTTTATTTCTCGCCTTCAAACTGACACATAAAACCGGTCCTCTATGTTCTCTTTATAATATTCTTCTTTCTAAATAATTTGTTCACTTGTATTTAAAACAGTGAGAAAGGCAAATGATTTGTTTTGTCTTGTTTTCTTGAATTGGATAACAGTAGTTTACTTTTTTCCCTAAATTTAGACTTATTACTTAATTATTTAATACTGGAGCTTTTTGTACACATATTTAGATGGATAAAGACGAGTGTTTAAAAAAATGTAGACACCTCGAATGAAGACGTCAGCTCTGAACCTAAAAAGCCACAATTTGAGATTATTTTTGTTTCTCTTTACTTCAAAATAAACTACTCACAAATGTAATTACACAAAAATGTACAGTGTGGATAAAAATATAGTGATTTAGTTATATTTCTTATGTGTTTTTTTAATTCTTAAGGTATACAGTGCAATTGAAATTGTCTGGTTGTTGCGTAATTATGCGATGATTAGTTGTAGATGGGGTTTTTGATTGGAAGCGTTCTATGATCTCCTTTCATTTGGCATAAGAATTTTAGCAATAATGTTATCACATCACTTTCAATACGAATTGAAAGTCGGTAGTGAAAACCATGGATTATCTCGAAAATCATTTGTATGAGTTAATTTTCAGTCATTCGTTTGGTATTCTCTTCACCAAGCTGGTTCATTCTTCCGTTTTAGCTTTGAACATTGACAAAATCCCCGCTGTAAATGCTTGATATATTTCTTTACTTCAATTAGATTTGCTCTAGCGATATCCATTGAATAGTTAGGACTTGATTATCACTTTGGAAGACGCTTATCCTAACTCTTGTGTGGTTCTCTTGATGTTGCTCTTTTACAACCTAGCCTGTTCGTTGCTCCGTGGCTTACGATTTCTGTTTTGTTTTTTGTTTTCGCTTTTCTGTGTCATTTAGTTTGTTCAAGAGTTTGGTACACCTTTCGTAGTAACCTTTTCTTATGTTATTGTTGACAAATTTCCCTCTAATTGGTTCATTTATGCATTTGGATCAATATGTTCGTTGAATACCATTTTACTGTTGTTGTTTTTTTCGGTTCACAACACGTGATTATAGTTAGCTAAGTGTAATGTGACCAATAAATCTGATTGCCAACTTTTGACTTCCAGTTAGTGTTCAAAGATGCTTTGTGTTATATTCTGTTCAAATTACCTGGATAATGGTAAATTTCCCTCTAAATAAGTTTCGTAGTATTCTGTTAGTGACCCAACTTTATTCCACTCATTCCAGAATATCTTCTGAATTAATTACCTGTGTCGAGGTATCAAGTTAGGAAGTTGTACAAAATTGGAAGCTGACTGTTGATATTCGTATATTAGTTACTGGCTATGAATTCTAGTGTCTTCGTGAACAATTTGCCGAAAACATGAAATTCGTATCCATGAGTTCGATAAATATTTGTTAGCATTGTATTTATCTATTTTATTCCCTTGCGTCCCGAATGGGACATAGGTCTTCAAGCTGGAGCTTTGAAGTTTCAGTAGCAGTGGGATTGTAACGGGCTTAGGGGCAAAAGGTGTGTGCCGGTTGGGACTCGAACTCTGGAACACACGCGTGGTTAGCCAGCACTCTACCGCTGAACCACCGACGCACACATTTTTTTTTAATAATAATAATTTGCTTTATTCCAAAACAGTACTTGTGATACAGAATGGAATTCTCAGCACTTTACTACAGTATTGCATCCAGTTAGTACATTATCAATAAATAGAATTCTACATAGACTAAGGAAATCTCAGTTCATTATGACAACAACATATTGGCATGTCGGTAGCAAAGCCAAAATTGAACAGAGTGTTTGAAGGTGTTAGAAAAGTAGATGCTAGCATATTTACTGGCGTAAGCGGTAACAAAAAGGTCGAGATATACAGAGTGTGAAAGAACGAAGAAGAATGTTTTAAATAGAGTTTGTAAGGAAGAGAGAAACAAAGCAGCACATAACAGAAAGAAAACGTTGTACCTATAAATGATATCAGTTGGAAAGACGAGATCCAGTTGTTCTACTGACTATTTAATGAATTATAGGTGTCACGCCTAATGATTTCTTTATCGCTCAGAATACGAGCTAAGTAGGATATGGTTTGGTTTTAGTGCGAGCATATAGTTTTCTATATAGGCTTCTGGTTTTGCCTGATAAGATACAAAGGGAGAGTTGTTAGCATTGACTATTTTTGAACTCTCATGCATTATATTGTTTCTTAAATAATTCGATTTTCAACAGAATCATGCATTGACATAAAGCTAAATTTACTTGTAGGGTAAAATTTCAACTCTTGTTGCATGCATTATAAGTGCAACAATACTCTATAGTAAGAGAACACTAAGCTCTCTTAAGGGCAGCTTAACACATAGCTCATGACAAGAAGAAGTATCTAATTAATCGTACGTATGAATGAGCGGGACTGGTTTGTTCTAGTATTTGCGAGAAAAAAACATTCAGAATTTCATCGAAATTTCTGTCCTCAAAAGAGTCACTTTTGAAAGATACCTCCATGTCAGTCTATAGTTTAAGTCCCAGTGAAGTTACACATAATGAAAGACCACTGCTACTCATTACTTTACAACAATTGTAAATAAACTTCTATATTAATTAATTAAATTATAGGAAGACAGACAATGAGGGTAATTTTCTTTTAGTTGAATAATTTCCCAGAATTGTACAATGTGAAGAAAAAATACAAGACGTCTGTTCTAAACAAAACTGTTTCATGAATTTGAAGTTCAAGAGCAACATTATGGTTGAAAATCGGTTAAATTGCTTTCCTTTGAGAAATGTGAAGAAGTTAGTTATCCGAAAAATCACAATTTTTTAATAAACCTCTATCCCTTCAGTGTATTGAAGAAAATCTTTCCCAGATACCTCAATTTGCAACTGCAGATTATTTTTTTTCCTGGAGAACAAAGTTATATGATCGTACATTGGTTCATTTCTGTAAGTTCAGTTTACAAAATTGTCTAGTTTGACCAGAAATATTGCTAACTCCATTCAGCTGCACTTTTTTCGTATGTAGATGCCTGGTTGTTTCGGACTTCTGTAACAAAGTGATCTACGTGTTCCATGAACACACCATGACTAAAGAACTTTATTTCTACATAACCGAGTCTCTGGCAATATTTGAATTTTAACATGACTTCTGCATTCGAAAACGTAATATATATATTTCTTGTTATGTTATTTCCCCCTCTATATTTTTCTCACACTTTCATCGATCTAAAATGAGATTTCTTGGGTTGAATTGTGAAAATGTTATTGACAAGGATCTGATCAGATGCTATCTGAAACAATAATAATAACCTTATTCTGTAAAATATGTTTACACATAATACAGCATCCTCAGTACAATTTCTTTCAAAACATTGGCTACTTGTGTAGGATTTCCAATTATTGATTTTATTCCTTTGAGTTCCGAGTGGAACATAGGACCTCAAGCTTCAGCTTTGAAGTTTCAGTTTCAGAGGCGTTATTCTTTCTTTTGCGGAGTGAGGTTGTTAACATTGCTACCAACCTTCCCTTTCTACCGGGCTTACTATCGACTAAACGAGGTTCATGAGTACGTTGGCCGGGATTTGAACCTCCGACTTACATACGTGGTTGGTGAACATTCTACCCTTTTACCACCAACGCGCCAGAAGTTTGTAACTACTACGGGATTCTATGACTGATAAATAATTGATCGAATGAATAATTTTTCAGTATCGAATAAGTGATGATGAGCTGAGGCAGTCCGAGTACACAGCTAGTAAATTCAGCCCTAAATGGTCTAAACTGCCTCATCTGGCGTTTAAGTCACTTTGATTTTGCTAACGAGCAAAGCTGGATGATATCAGTGATTTCCTGTTACTCATCGATCAGTCAGTTGCATATGCCATTTACTATATCCCTTGCTGTCTTGATTGACATTTATGATGTTAAGCAGATTGCAAATTGTAATCTGAATAGTTTGGGTTTCCAAAGGAATCTGTAGTAAATTTGCACTTTGAACTGTGTAATTTGTAAGTGACGACTTGTAAAATTTCCAAGTGAATTATTAATCGACAATATACTGTATGATACAATGTTGTTCGACCTAAACTAATGCTCATTATTTCAAGTATTGGTTTTGTAGGGCAGGGGGATTTCATCATGAGCTGACATCAGTTAGAGAACCACTGGGAGTACTGGACAGCTGTTTTGGCCTAGCTTGGGACTCTTCGTCAGTATGCATCAACCTGGGTTCGAATGGTTATCTAACTGATGTCAGCTCATGATGAAATCCTCCAACTAATGTTCATTAATTAACTAAAGTTTCCCTTCATTTTCTTCCTGAAGTCTACAGTTAGAAATGTGCATGAATATATTTTGCTATCCATAATTGGAAGATTAAAACAAAAACAAATGGAAAAACGTTAATGCATTGTGATGTGAATAGAAACTCAGGTAGCCTAGTGGTTTAAGCAGGTTACCAAATGCAAATATCTGTCATATTATTCCATACATGTTTATACATGACCATTTGAACTGTAAATCTTGTTGGTTGTGTGCTTACTCTACTAACTGATTTTATGAAATCTGCTTGTTAATTATGCATCAGTTTTACTTAGAACACCAAGAATTTCACCCAATTATCATAGGGATAAGGCCGGTTTAGTCCAAATGATAGTTTCATTTGGTTTTCCCTATTGTGTGCTACGAATTCATAACTTGGTTACATCCATGAAGAGTTTGTAAATTATAGAATGACGTAATTTCTACCAAAGGAAAATTTTGAATGACTATTTGCATCTAATGATACTTTTTCAATATGGTTAGAATACGTGTTGCCAACGATTACAAATTAACTTGTAGTAATTTCGTCTGAGAAGTTACTTCATGTAGAATCCTCATAATTCAGTTCACTGAAAGATTATGAACTTACATGTTTGGTTGGATGAAATCAAGAAGTAACTACTACTTTGAATTGTGGTTTGAATGAATTTCCATGCTATTTGACTTACCTACTTATAAGTAGCTTGAGGGAAATTAGTGAAATAATTGGAGTTACAAGAAAGTTTTTGAGACAATACAGCAAATTCAATCAACATCCCTTTACGTATTCTACCACAAACTTATTCATGGAGTTATACTGAGTGAGGAAAGTTAATAATCCGTGATAATGCATCGGTTATAGTTCATTGAGCCCCAACTCAATGGGAGAGTAGAAACGTGTTCACTGAGAAAACTGGGGATTCTAACTTCCATCTTGCATCAAGTTAAATGTGTGCTGAAGGTTACCTATCTGATACGGAAAATGGGGCAATTTATCACCTCTCAGTTCTAGAAATTCTTAAAATCGACTAATTTCTCTCTAATCGTTCGATAAAATCAAATCCGGCGATTACTGAAACAATTCATAATTTTTTTTCTTCACGTTCCCCAGTGGAACATAGGGCTTCAAACTTGTGGCTTGAAGTTTCTGTAGCAGTGTTTTTTTACAGGATGGGGTTCCTAGCCTCATGCCCAACCTTTCCTCTTCACCAGAATTAT